ATACCAAGTGTTGGTGAAAACATGGAATCGGTGAGTTCTAATACACTGCTGGAAGAAACGTAAATGGTTTCAATCTGTTTGGAAATCTGCCTGGCAGTACAAACTAAAGCTAAGCATATGCATATCCTATAGCCCAGCACCCCACTCCTAAAGGTATATACATATATCCAAAAGAAATGTACACCTATATTCACCAAAAGACATATGCTAGAATATCCAAAGAAGCACTCTTCTAGGAAGCACAAATCTGCACATGTGCCCATCATCAGTAAAATGATCAAATAAATTGTGGTGTATTCATAGAATGAAATGCTACCAGAGTTAAAAGAGTAAAAGTTTGCATCCACATGCAACAATAGGGATCAATCCCTATATTAGTCCATTTTGTGTTGCTGTAAAGGAATACCTGAGGCTGGATAATTTATAAGGACAAGCAGTTTATTTAGCTCACGATTCTGCAGGCTGTACAAGCATGGCACTAGCATCTGATTGGATCCTGGTGAGGCCTCAGGAAGCTTTTACTCATGGTGGAAGGTGAATGAAGAGCACGTGTGTCACAGGTCAGAGAGGGAGCAAGAGAGGGGGGAGGAGATGCCAGGCTCATTTAAATAACTGGCTCTCATGTGAACTGACAGAGCAAGAACTCACTTGTTACCACAGGAGGACACTAAGCCATCCTAAGGGTTCCACCCCCATAACCCAAACACCTCCCAATGGTCCCTACCTCCAACATTGGGGGTCACATTTTAACATGAGATTTGGAGGGGACAAACATCCAAATGGTATCAATTCCATAAATATCATGTTGAAAGGGAAGTCCACAAAAGAATACACACACCAGGATTCCATTTATAGAAAGTACAAAAACATGAGCCCATAGATAGATCAGAGAAAATACAAAATAAAATAAGATAAAGAAGGTACAAAAACAAATGTAGGACATTAGAAGTGGGATAGAGGCTGCCTGGGGTAGCACCCGGCAGGGAGCACTGGGGGTCGGGAGGTGGTCCTGGGGTGCTGGTAATGTTCTGTTTCTTGATCTAAGCTCTGGTTATATGAGGGCATTCAGCTTATGAAAAATTCTTTCATTTATTTGTACATTTATGATATATATACTTTGGTTCATGTAATTTCAATTAAAACCCCCTTTTACTTTCAGGCAATTGCGTTGTTACATACTTTCAGGTTAGAACTTGAAACTGGGCAGAGTATCCTCTCTCATCTGTGTTATGCTGTTCCCATGAGGGATGAATTCCATCCAGCCAGTGCCTTCTGGGCAGCTAGAAACTGGAGATCACTGGGTTCAAAGGTCAGGTGAAATGTCAATGCAGTATCCCCATTCAATAAGATTGTGTCATAGTATATACAGAAACTACTGAAAGAGTTTTACCTCAGAAGAAATCTAACTGAAGAAATAAGTGACTTAAATGAGATAATGTCCAATGCCATATTATCCAGTAACCAGCAAAGAACTTCTCAGTAAAGAAGCTATTTCAGTTAAGGCAGCAGGTAAGTGACTCATCAGTATGATGAGAGGAAGGAAATTCATTTTACCTACCCTATGTTTGTGAGTTTATTACACATTAAATAGCTTTACTCAATAATTCAAAGTGAAATTAAGGATGAATTGTGCCAGCCACAGCTTCCAAGCAGCAAAACTATAATAATACATGAGGATTACTGATCTCAATAGATGGGAACATAAGTTGTGTAAAGGGTCCAGAAAGGAGGATACATGATCCTCAGCTTGTAGCAGCAGGTAGCAGCTATTTATCTTCATTCTCTAATTACCTTGCTGTTTCATTGTTACTATTACTTGTTAAGACAATTCTCAGTTACATCAGTACCTTATGAAAAATGTATGGACAAATGAGAGTGTCCTCATTTATTACTCCTACGTGGAACATCTGTAATATTTAGTCTACTGTTTATGAGGCTCTTTATGTGTGCACTTACTGGAAAAATCTGCTGAGCTTTTTATTCTGCAGACAATAAAATCTTTCTGAAAAATTGTGTAATATTTATAAGCCTTAGAACCTAAGATAACAAAGACTTGGAGCCTAATTGATATCTGGATGGTTAATCTCCTGAAACACACCCAACTAATAGAAGAATCAGGGTTCCCTCCAAAAAAACAAAAACAAAAACAAAAACAACACGAAGGAGACAAAAATACGTATCAATAAAGTTTTTTAAATAAAAATCAAGGAAAGAATCAAGGCAGAATGACAAGGAAAAAAAGAAAGAAACCAGGGGAAGTGAAAAGGAGAAGAAAAAGGGAAATGAATATGTGTATTGAGTGATTATCATGGGCTTCACATATGTTATTGCAAAGAAAATCAGAAATGGGAAGTAAGAAAACTGGACAAAGAGTTAAGAGCTACTACTTAACAGCTATAAAGAATAGAGAGAAAAAAAGAAAAGGTAAAAATATATAATTTTGTATATATTTGTTTATATCTACTCCAATTAAGACTCAAAACTAGATTTATATATTCAAATATCAATTTCTCATATAGTTTTTACACATTTATCACTTTTTGACAACTTCTAACTGCAACTGAAATTTGCTTGAATGTTTGTGTCAAGAAACTAAAATCCAAAATAATGCCAAAGGTAAAAAATTCTTGCTCTAGGAAGTCCAGAGTTGTATTATGTTGGAGTTTAATATCTTCATTTGCAGAGTAATAGGAAATTATTAAAAAAGGAAATTTTTGGTGAGCCCTATGTGTGTATAAACTGACACATCTTCAAATGAAAGCATGAGAAATTAGAAACTGTACCTTGGAACTCAGCTTAGAAGTGATTTTCCTGCCTCAGCCTCTTGAATAGCTGAGACTACAGGCACGTGCCACCATGCCAGGCTAATTTTTTGTATTTTTAGTAGAGACAGGGTTTCACTAGATTAGTCTCAATCTCCTAACCTTGTGATTGGCCTGCTTTGGCCTCCCAAAGTGCTGGGATTAGAGGCGTGAGCCACTGTGCCTGGCTTAGGGTTAATTTTTCTGTACAACCCATTGGATAATATTCACTCCCTCTTGAAAACTCTTCAGGGGACCTCTACTGCCTATGGGATAGCACTTGCATTCCTCAGTCTGTCATCAAAACCCTCCCTGACCTCATCCAATCCAGACTTTTTTCCAGACTTATGTCCTGCAACTACAGTACCTCAAACTCTCAGCTCTACTCAAACAAATCAACTCACTTTTTCCAGTGGGACCTATTCAGGACCTTATTCAGGTCTTTGCTGAAGCCAGCAGTCTATTCTCTCTCATCTGCAATGCTCTCCTATCACTTCCTCCTGCCAAAATCTTCTGGTCTGCAAAGTCTAGCACAGTTTCTTCCTCCTGCATAAACGATTCACGAATAACTACAGAGAAAAATCATCCATTCCAGGACTTCTACACCTAGCAAATTTATTATCTCTATCACTCTTAGGTCATTTTCCTGGATACTGTCATGAACTCCCAACTCTGTATATGTTCCCAACTAAATTATAAGTTCTTGGAGGGCAGATATGGAAATGTGACTTTTTCTTATATCTATAGCTGATCTGTACATCACAGAGCCTGGGATAATGCAGAACACAGAGCATCACTCAATAATTAATTGGAGAGCCAATGAATCAAGGAACTGTTTCATAGATCCCTCTGCAAAACAACAATACTTTACTCTGTAAAAGCAGGTCTTTGACTCTTTGGTCATAAATCCTAAAGAGCCAAGCTCTGAGTCAATGGGCACTTGGAGGAAAGCAGAACTAAAAATAAGCTTTTCCAATTTTATTTTGTGTTTTCTGATTTGCTGCCCCAGAGGTCTGTTTTTGTTTTTGTTGTTGTTTTTGAGATGGAGTCTTGCTCTTGTCACCCAGACTGGAGTGCAGTGGTGCAATCTTGGCTCACTGCAACCTCCGCCTCCTGGGTTCAAGCGATTCTCCTGCCCCAGCCTCCTCGCTGGGATTATAGGCGAGTGCCACTATGGTCAGCTAATTTTTGTATTTTTAGTAAAGAGGGGTTTCACCATATTGGCCAGGCTGGTCTTGAACACCTGGCCTCAGGTGATCCACCCGCCTTGGCCTCCCAAAGTGCTGGGATTACAGGCATGAGCCACCGCACCCGGCCAGGTCTGTTTTATAGATATAACCTAGGCATATGATGGTTCCATTTTCATAACTAAAAGGAAATATAAATATTACAAATGGCTCTCCTATTATAAATGCCACAGAAGACACAGAATTTAAAAAGAGAGAGAGCATAAAATTCTTCTTTAAATTTCAAGGGCATACTTAAACTACAATTCTAAAATAAAAATACAAGTTGGTCAGAACAGTTAAAAGACAACTTATAAAAAATACCTAGTTACAAAATACATAGCTTTTTAATTTTACTTTTTTTTCCACTGTATTTTAGGTTCTGGGGTACATGTGCAGATCATGCAGGATTGTTGCATAGGTACTTACATGGCAAGGTGGTTTGCTGCCTCCATTCTCCCGTCACCTATATCTGGCATTTCTCCCCATGTTATCCCTCCCCAACCTCCCGACCCCCTGCTGTCTCTCCCCTAGCCCCCTGAACAGACCACAGTTTGTGATGCTCCCCTCCCTGTGTCCATGTGTTCTCACTGTTCAACACCCACCTATGAGTTAATTTTACTTTTTAATACATATGACTTCAAGCTTAACATCTATATATCATTTCCAAGTAAAAATGATGTTGTAAATTTTGTGTGATAAAAATCTCATTTAAAAATATATTTAAGTCCTACAAAAGTATTTTGCTTTCTAAAAATGCTACATATGTTCTTATACTTTTCACTTACCCTGTACAACTATGTTCAAATACTATTTCCCATCTCATGCAAAAATAAATTCCAACTCACTTCTTTATATCACATTGTCATACATTTAAAGTTATAGGGATTGGGAAAAATTAGGTTCACTGAAGATGCACATTGCTAAAAACACCTCATGGCATGTGAGTTGCAGAAGACTGAAAGCTACTAACCTGAGACATCCTGTAATTACAGGAAAATTACCTCGTCTTTATGAATCACGGTAATCTCCACCTCCAGAGAGTGATGGTTGCTTTACATAACTTTCTCAGTGTGTAACATAAATGAAAACTTGTAAGAGTGAAATGATATAGTGCAGTCCTTCTCATGATAAATCGCTTGTATGAGTCTCTGAAGGGAGCACAGGCCCTATTAGGAAGAAAACAAATACTAAATGTCATTTCACTTGATAAATATATGGAACCAGCTACAGCCCACGCTGACCTCCTGACCTATGCAAAATTACCCAGTAAAGTAGGGATTAGAAAGAATTGTCTAATATGTGGAGTGTGCCAGAATTATAAGAGCAGTTTAAATCAATAGGCCAATAAATCGATTCCTAAACTTTCTATAAACATACAATACTTTCTCCTAAAATTAAATTGAATGATTTCATCTTATTCCTGGGAAAATTGGAAACATTGAAAGTCAACTCTGATTCCAGGGACTTAATTAAATGTATACTATCTAAGACGATATTACCAAATTGTACTAAATCATTCCAGTACAATTGGACTGCTCAGTATTTTCCATATTACCAGCTACTTGCATGTCACTTTGACAAGTACTTCTAGTTACTTACCCTTGTTCACATTTTTCTTCTTGTTCATAAGAGTTTGTCATGAAACCCATCAAAAGGCTTTGAGTCATTAAAAAAAAATAATGCACTAAAAACCATTTTGTAATATAGATGTCTTGGGGTATATAAGGAGATCCCGAGAGATGCCTGATATAATAGGAAAAGCCCATTCTATAACACCTTGGACCCTAATTGCTTGTCTGCAAGTAGGTTGAACGGATCATAATCTAAGTTTTAGCCTGCAACCATTTTTCCTAGTTTCCTTATCACTTGTGTGTTCACCAAACTGCCACAAACCATACCTCTTATTACACCCAGGGATTCTCACGATGGCAGGGTGCAGGTGACTTTCCTACTCAGAGATGCATATGCTTTCCCCCAACATTCCCCCACACCAGCCCCACTCCAATCCTTTAGAATTTGCGTATAGATTTTAATCCCCACCACATCTCACTCATGTGTAGGCACGTGATCTGTGACATTGAGAGCCACAGAAGGTAAATTTTTAGAAGTGCATTTAAGAAGTATCTTCAAAGAACTACCAGTCAAAGCATCTTATCTCTCCTCATGGAATCTTAGAGCCTGCTTTAACTGTAAGAGCGATGATGTTTGCAAACTGAGTCCCTGTAACAGGCCAAAGCTAAAGGTCCTCCGCCTGGACTTACTCTGTCAGGCTCTGACCTGGGCAATTGACCGTCATCAGCCAAGGTGGCTGTTTATGTGCCTTTCCTTCAAGCATTTGTGCCTAAATGTGTTAGACCTCTCAGATAAGCTACTGAAGACAAAGTCTTCAATGCCCCCATCAGTAAGAGTACCAATGAGAAGAATTGTAGCTAGTGTAGAAGGTAGGAGGCATATGTGAGCTATCTGGGCAGGAGGCTTGTCTATATGCCCAAGTCAGGCACCCAAAACACCTAAAAATATGACTGACTTCCCTTCATTTTCCTAAATTAGGATCCAAATTTGCCTCTGTCTAAAATGCATGAATCATATCATGTTCTCCAAGAAGTTGCTGGGCAAAGATAGAATGGGGTCATAACTGTCTAAAAGGAGTTGAATTCCAATTGAGCCCTTTTATTAAATCGGTCATATTTAGTATTGAAAGAAACACTTTATTCTCCTCTTCTCTTTGACTAAGCAGGAAGCCATCTTCTAAGGCAAGGTCTGTACCTTTAACCTTCTGAAATGAGCCATGCATGTATTTTCCTAGGAAGAGGTCAGCACTTCAAACCATGGCTCAGGGGCAAAGCCAGATTTTTGAAAAAAATCTCTTTTCAATAAATATTAACTGAATCTCTGGTAGATGTAAGGCACTAGGGATAAAGATAAAACAGTTCTCACCCCATTCAGGACGCCAGAATTTAATATTGGAAGCATACAAATAAATACAAAATTGAAGTGCAGTAGAACCTTTACTTTTGGGATGGATACATCTTGAGATAATGTGATTCCCCAAACTCATATCTTACCTATTTAATACTAAGAATCAAGATTATTTGATGTAATCATCTATAAATAATATAATTGATATGGTTTGGCTGTGTCCCCACCAAAATCTCCTGTTGAATTTTAGTTCCCATAATCCCCATGAGTTGTGGGAGGGACCTGGTAGCAGGTAATTGAATCATGGGGGTAGTTACCCTCATGCTGTTCTCATGATAGTGAGTGAGTTCTCACAAGATCTGATGGTTTTATAAGGGGCTTTTCCCCCTTTTGCTCGGCACTTCTCCTTGCTGCCACCATGTGAAGAAAGACATGTTTACTTCCCCATCCACCATGATTCTAAGTTTCCTGAGGCCTCCCCAGCCATGCTGAACTGTGAGTCAATTAAACCTCTTTCCTTTATAAATTACCCAGTCTCGGGTATGTCTTTATTAGCAGCCTGAGAATGGATGGATACAATGATCATATATTCATACAATCATAAGATAATCATCTTGTGTTATTACAAATTATTCAACATCATAGACCTTTAGGTCACTTACAGTGTTCAAAATCACAACGTTAATACCCCTTATCTGGTGTAATGAATGTTAAGATGTGGGTGTGCACCAGTGCTACAAGAGCACACAGGTGATGCAACTAATCCAGCCTGGAGTGGGAAGGGGGAATTGAAGGCTCCCTCAAGGGGCTGATACCTAAACTGAAGTTCAAAAGATGAGTGGGGTCAGCCAGTTGAAAAGAAGGGGATGATTCCAGGCACAGGAAACAGCATGCACAAAAAGAAAGGAACAAAGCCAATAAATGAATAACAACAACAATAACAGAAACACACACACACAAATATACACTGATGGTCCCACACTTATGAAGGTTTGACTTTATGATGGTGTGAAAGTGATACACATTCAGTAATAATTGTGCTTTGAATTTTGAATTCTGATCTTTTTCCACTCTAATGACATGCACTGGGATCCTCTCTCCCAATGCTGGGAAGCCACAGAGAACCACATGTCCCAGTTGGCCACACCATTATGAAGGTAGACAACTAAGACTCAATAGTGTTCCTTGTTGCCAAGTGATTTTGCCCAGCTGTTGGCTAATGTAAGTGTTCTGAGCACCTAGGGCAGTAGGCTATGATGCTCTGAAGGTTAGGTGTATTAAATGCATTTTTTTTTTTTTTTTTGAGAGAAGGTCTGCATTCTGTTGCCTAGGCTGGAATGCAGTGGCGTGATCACAGCTCACCGCAGCCTTGACCTCCCAGGCTCAAGCAATCCTCCTGCCTCAGCACCCCAAGTAGCTTAGACGATAAGCATACACCACCACACCCAGCTAATTTTGTTATTTTGTAGAAATAGGGTCTCCCTACATTGCCCAGGCTGGCCTCAAACTTCTGGGCTCAAATAATCCTCCTGCCTTGGCCTCCTGAAATGCTGGAATTACAGGCGTGAGTCACTGCACCAGGCCTAAATGCATTTTTGACTTATAATATTTTCAACTTGTAATGGGTATATTGAGATGTAACCCCATCATAAGTTGAGAAATGTCCGTATTAATTATTTGCTATGGGCCAGGCCCTGTTGTAAGCAGTTAACACATATTAACTCATTGACTATTCCAAATAACTATATTAAATAGGGATAACTACTTCTCCCATTTCACAGATAGGAAAACGGAGGCACAGAGGACCTAAGTGACTTTTCCAAAGTTACATAGCTAGTAAGCGGCAGAGCCAGGATTTGAACCCAGACAGTTTGACCCTAGAGTTCATATTCTTTTTTTCTATTTTTTGAGATGGAGTTTCACTCTTGTTGCCCAGGCTGGAGGGCAATGGCACGATCTCAGCTCACTGCAACCTCCGCCTTCTGGTTTCAAGTGATCCTCCTGCCTCAGCCTCCTGACTAGCTGGGATTACAGGCATGCACCACCAAGCCCAGCTACTTTTTATATTTTTAGTAGAGATAGGGTTTCTCCATGTTGGTCAGGCTGGTCTCGAACTCCCAACTTCAAGTGATCTGCCTGCCTCGGCCTCCCAAATTGCTGGGATTACAGGCATGAACCACTGCATGTAGCCGAGTTCACACTCTTAACTATACAGATGGTGAGGAGAAAGGGAGGCAGGAAAGCAAATAAGAGGCTGCAGGAGTAGGTAAGAGTCAGATCACATAGGGCCTAGTTCAGCTTCTGAACATCATGGGGAACTACTGAATTATTTCAACAAGAAAAATGACAAAAGTTGATCTGGGTTTTAGAAATTGCCTCTGGCAGTAGTGTAGACTGGCACTGCATGGATGGGTGTACAATGAAGACAGAGAAAGAACTTGGTTAAATATGTTCACAAATAATGATATTAATGATGCTTAGAAATGATTAAATACAAGAGATACTAAAGAGAAAGAACCAAATTAAAAGGACTTGGTGACTCATGAAGACTTAAGGCAGGGAACATGCCGAAGATGAAGCTCTGATAATAAAGCTGATATAGTACCATGTACCACTACTATCCTAAAATGAAGAAGAAAGAATACAAGGTAAACAAAAGGAAACTTTAGTAATGGCAGTATATAAACTCTAGTAAACTCTTCCTTTGGAATGCATGGAAATACATCCAAATTAGTTTACTTAAGATGTATGCATTTGCGGGAAATAGGACATAAGAAGGGCTAGATATTGGTAACTGATTTTGAAATGCCATAATGGTCAGCAATGCATTATATTTTATATTATGGTATCAGGTGTTTGAACATATGTTCCATAATTGATGGCAGCACTTTCTAGACAGGGACAATGTGTCTTATTTTCACTGCATCTTTTTTGTATTTTTTTATATTGCCCAATAAATGTCTACTGTATAAATACATGAAGAACAGAAAAGAAGGAGAAAAAGATGGCTCTTGGGTAGCCAGTGCCGTGGTTCACCATCAGAGGGAATGCGATAGGAGGTGTAGATTTTAGACTTGGGCATATCGTCTCTGTGGTATCTGAAGAACCACAAAGTTAGATGGATGTGAAGCTCAGGAGAACTTCATTTAAAAATCATCATTGCCTGTGTGCAGTGGCTCACTCCTATAATTCCAGCACTTTGGGAGGCTGAGATAGGTGGATCACCTGAGGTCAGGAGTTCAAGATC